TGGTTGATCAGTGATAGTTGAAATTGCTTTAATGATTATTGGTACCTTGTTCAGTAGTTATTTGTCATGCTATCAGTACCAATAGCAATTCTCTTTAATGAGAGCTGGGCATATTTGCACCTGACAATAAATCAAGTTGACAACAAATCCTCTTATTGCTAGTGCACTGGTACCCACAGGCATCCGTATAAGAAAGGTATCAATAAAGCACTTTTTCTCAGTTTAACCCTGTATTGTCCCCTAAGTGGGAAAGAGCAAAGCTCTTCTTAACTTTTGAATATTTACTGGGACTGATAAAACTAGCACAAGGGTTATGAAGCACACCTCTTTCATGATGAAACAGTTGAGGCTCTCCGGAGATTTGTTTGCAAACTCTCCAGGTATCATACAGAAGGACATCAGAGTTCTGTTGATACCTGCACATTCAGGAACATGCTGAAGGGGTGGAGTGGCCTCTAACATATGTAACTTTACAACTTACACATGAGCCAGTGTTTTGGATCTGGTTGAAGATCCACAACCGTATTTTCCTTCCTCAACTAGTATGGATGGAAGAATGAGGAGGGCCAGTTATACACTAGCCCCTGGCATGGTGATCCATCCTATTCCCTATTCAATATTCATGCAAGAAGGACTCGAAAAGATGTGGTCATCTTAGTGCATGCATACCATATACTGGGATGTGTGGTTGCAGTGAACAGTGTCAAATGTGGCAGAGCATGTAAGCTTGTTCAGAAGCATTAAGGATAATGAGTCTGACGGCAGTAACAAAGATGTATATTGATAAACAGCATCTGAACCACAGGATTTGTAATGTATTAAAACATGGTTTCATTTCCCAGAAAACGTACATTTTGAGTTCTCCCGAGTTTATGGTTAATCAAATGAAAATATTTATACAGCAAAATATAATGAGTAATGATCGAATGCCAGCAGTTCCCTAGATAACACATTAAGTGGATTTTGATTTTTTTTTAAGTATTAAGGCATTTTTGCTGAAACTTTGCATCAGAGTAACAAAATAACTTTCATATTTCATCTTTGTATAACAGTATATGGTCCTCCATACTGTGTTTGAGTTACAAGCATATTAGAAACCCAGAGTAGCTCTGTTTTGACTTCCTTATACATAAATAGATATGTGGTTTGCATTTATCATACCTCTGTATAAAATAAGATTCTTGGTTTTGCTTATAGAGTATTCAAAATACATGATTCTCAACAAATTCATGCAGGATATTTTCAGTGAAATTTATAGCAACATTTGTGAATCTACTATCTCGTATATTTGAAGATCCACATGAATAAGAACATTAGTAAAAGAGTTCATTAAAAACCACATTACCCCCACAAAATCAATTATTTCCACTTTCAGCCAAAATCCTCCCTCATCATTCCTTCCTTCCATCTCAAGAATCCTATGTAATAAATTTAGAATAGTATAAAAATGTCAAACCCATTTATCCTCTTCAGGATAACCTAACATTAAAAAAAGGAATCTGTAGTTTACTTTTAATTTTCCACGTCCGTGGAATTATAGAACCGTCTTCATTATAATATTAAGGTTATGTATTCTGTCATAATAATGCTGCACCCTACGTGAGATTGCTGTTAATGGCATACTTCTTGCTACTGTCCTGTTTCTTTATGAGTCCATGTTCCGTCATGAATGCAATACTTGCATACTCCAGGATGCAAACCTTCTGGTTTCCCATGGATTGTCAAACATAATTCTGCATGCTTTTAACATATAAAATCCTGGGTTAGACTCTGAATATCTATGGGTTAGGGACTGCAGGTGGCAAAGTGGTTTAAACTGCTGTGCCGCTGGGCTGGTTGATCGAAAGGTCGCTGGTTCGAATCTGCACGACGGGGTGAGTTGCCATTGCCCCATCCCAGCTCCTGCCAACCTTGCAGTTCGAAAGCATGCAAACGCAAGTCGATAAAAGGGTACCACTTCAGTGGGCAGGTAACAGCGTTCCTTGCACTTCAGTGTTTAGTCATGCCGGCCACATGACCGCGGAGACTGTCTGCGGACAAATGCTGGCTCCCTCGGCTAGGAAATGGAGATGAGCACCGCCCCCTAGAGTCAGGCATGACTGGACGTAACATCAAGGGGAAACCGTTACCTTTACCTTTATCTATAAGTTTATATTCTTTCAGATGCTCCCATATAGATTTCTCAAACCATCCACAAAATGCTTTGTTGATTTGGGTACATGTAGTCAGGCTTGTATAGCAAGGCCAGGTAGAGAGGTGAATTTTCCATGGAGAAGTTCCTTCTTCTGGAAACTTAACCAGAGAGGAGCTGACTTCACAGGGTGAAAACACAGCAGCCCACCCTGGAGTTATGTTATACAGTCTGGGCTGTTATGAAATAACACACAGAGTACCTGAGCTACAATCAAGCTCACTGGTGGGTGGTCCTCTCTTCCATTCCCTGGTCTTTACCTGGTATCCCAGGAGATTTCATGGCTTAACCCACCTTGTCTCATTTTCTGCTGTGGGATTTCTCCACCCAACTACCAAATTGCATTGCTGCTCTTGCCAAGTGACTCACTCGTCACTTGCCTGTACCTCCAAGAGTATTGGTTGCCTGTAGAACAAGCTATGATTGGGTAGCATGGTTCATTGCCCACAGAAAAGTCCAGGTTTGAGTGAGACAGCATTTCACTGTGGCTAATTATCTATGTTGTGTTGTTGTGGCACATGAATCCAGTTAGTGGTTAAGGCAAACCAAAAAAGGCTTCCATGTGGGATTACCACAAAAACCATACCTCCAGTTTTCCTCTGCCCGTGCCATGATGAATGTGAAAAGATTTGAAGAGAAGCCAATAAATATGATGGTGGAGCTTATGGACACAACTCTGTTTCTGATTTAGGCAATATAGTCTGGGCCCATTTACACAAGAATAAGATGCACCTGATGCACATTCAGGCTTAGTATAGGTTCTTGGCCTCCTTCACACTCAGTCCTTCAGCCAGCTCCAACATATATCCCATTGTCCTTCATCTTATCTACCCACATCCAATTGTTACCCTTTTTTGTTCACTGCCATTAAAAAAAAATGCAGGTCCTCAAAAAAGGGCAATTGGGCACCACACAGTTGGTGTGGGAGTTTTTTCACTCCTTGAGAATTGTATAACCATGCTAATTTTTTTAAAAAAATATTTTTGTCAGTCTTTGTAAATGTGCTCTCATGGCTGCCCATGTTATATAGACATTCTGGTCAATTTCCATGTTTGTTTCAGCTGTCAAAGGGGGTGGCAAAGTGGGGCAGATAACCGATGGACAAGGAGAGGTTGTGTATAGACTAATCTGAGTGCTGTTGCTAGAGTTCAATTGAAAACTCCTGGTAAAGCAAGGAGTGGCAAAAGAAGTGGCCCCAAATTGAGGATGGACAGTATCCTCAGCAATGTCAACAACTTTTTAAACTATTAAAAAAGCAGGCAAATAGGATTTACTTCCCAGACATTACAATTGTGTACATTCCATCTATATTATTGGAGAGTTGGGTAAGTGTGTGTTGAAGAGCTGGAGAATACGGAGAAATATTGGTTCAGCATTTAAAACTAAGAGAATGACATTGCTAAGAGGGAAATTTTGGGTGCACTCCTTTGGCATGCTCCCCCACTTTCCAATACTCCTAAGTGCACATCTGCAGATTTGCCAAAGACCAACAAAAACTTCCCCATATTTTAAACTGAATGGTATCTGCTTTAACGTATTTCCTACCAAACCACTCAGACTGTTGTTATGCTAGGAAACACTGTAGAGAAGATTGTACAATTCAAACGATATTATGTTCCATAATAGTCACTATGGGGAGCACTTCACTCATACCTCCTCCCACAAACAGAGTTTGTTACGCACTCATTGTACAGAATGTGAGGGTGCTATTCCAAATTGTGAACCAAGAAGAATCCCAGAATCTCCTTGCAGAATTCCTTTGGTTGCTTCACCTTTAAGCTTCCAGGTGCTTCAGTAATCCTAGAGTAGCACCCCCACCTCCCAATATGTTGTGACCTTTCTTTATGCTGCTTCTGTTCAGTCTGGACTTAATGGGAGTGAAGTTAATCTGTGCCTTACCACATAAACTCCTAGGTGGAATGGCATTTGTTTTCTGTGGACCTCAGCCCAAGACTGTGCTCCATGGAATAGAATAGCTGAAGTGAAGCAAGCATCATCGTGTTGATCTGACGCCTCTGGCCCGAGTCCTTTGTTCATTTTGGATGCAATGCAGCATAATAAGATGTCAGTTTCATGTGGTGAACTTTCCCTGTGAATGAGCTCTGCCATGCCAACAGTTAACCTTTACCGCCTCAGTGGAAAATTGTGAGAACTAACAAGCTTCCTGATGTGATAAATATGAGCTGTTGCCATGTAGGGATGCCTTCGTAAAATAATATTCACCCCGTGAAACTGATGAGGGAGAGTTTTATCTCGTAACATATTTATCACATCTGGAGTGAATATAGGAATTGGTCCCAAGCTGAATTTTATCCTGCTACCCTGGCTTTGAGATCAGTCTGCATGAACACCTCCTTTGGTAGATGTGAAAAACCCTGTTAAGCTAGAGATTTTTTTTAAAGGATGGGCACCTATGATTTTCTCACCAAAATACAGTGTTGATATAAAAATGTGCTCCAGCTTTTCTCCATAAAGTGAGGGAAAGTATGTGAGATGATGATGATGATGATGATGATGATGATGATGATGATGATGATGATTTGATGCGATCATGATTAGGTAGGGAACCGGTGTGAAGAATATTTATTTTTTGCCCAAAAGGGTAGACTACTTCCTTTGTAATGCTTTTATAACTAAGACAACTGTAGTGCCTTTAAGTTAGAGCTCTTTTGGTCTGTGCCGCACAGGTATGGTTATGGGAATTGGATCAGAAAATTTTTATCATAGGTCATGTTTCTTTTTCAAAATATTGAAGTTTCCTGAACCAGTAATTTCCAGTTCTGCATTTTCCCCTGTATTTTGTTTACAGAGCATCACAGGATTGCTTCTTTCAGTGAGGGAAACTGGCTGCTGGGCAACATCAATCAAACTGGCTATTTTAGGGTTAACTATGACATTAGAAATTGGAGGCTGCTAATTGACCAACTAATGAGAAACCATAAGGTAAGCTCATTTCATTATATTACCTGAAACTTGTTTTGATGTGTGAAATCCCTGCTGTTTTTATCATCCTATTCCATTTTTCTCCTTTATTCTCACAGGTAATCTCTGTCAGTAATCGTGCAAGTTTGATCGATGATGCATTCAATCTAGCCAGGTATGTTTTTCTGAAGATAATCTAACCTAATGCTCATTCCTGCAACACTCATATATTTGCCTGCATCTTGTGTCTGTGTGTGCTCCGAGGCTGAAGCTATTTAAAAACTGTTTCAAATTCCACCTTGCTTTTTTCAGTTTTCTGTCTTTTTGTGATATGGAGCATGAACACTGTCTGCAGCACTTTTCCTATTCCTGATCAATAAAAGCCTGAGGGTATTTCCAAGTATAGATGCATGATTAATTTCCCTTTAAAGTCAGTTTAATACTTGAGAGATTAATAATCTGTTCCCATTTCACTAATGAACAGTTTTCTTACTAAAACGAACCTTGTGTAATATATCATTTCTAATGATAAAACTCTTCAAGCTTCAGAATTTGTTTCTGCTCTCATATCCATGATTTTTATAGTTCCAAAGTGTAATACATGGTCATAGAAACCAAAAGGGCATGTGTGTGCCCTTAGATGCACTTAGAAATAGTGCATTTTTGCATTGTTGAATTTTTTCAAAATATTGCTGGTGATATTTATCACCTGGGTTTCAAAGTCCACTAAAGATCTCCAGAAAATTCTAGCTTTAAGAAGAAAGACAGACAGACAGACACAAGAGCGCGCGCGCGCGCACACACACACACACACACACACCTAAAACCGCATGGGGAGAGTAGCTAAGAAGCATGGGAAGACTGTCAGGCTCAGAAAAGGGAAAGGTCTCAGAAAAGGGACAATTAAATAGCACATGTTAAGTTTATCCCTACCTTGTTTAGGATGGTGGAAAGGACCCACTTTGTCATAAGAACATAGGAGACCTTTTGGATCCAACCGAAATCCAGAACCACTGTTTTTTTACAGAGGCCTGCCAGTTGCTTCAGAGAAGGCCACAAGATGGACTTGAAGACAATAATTCTCACTGATATTTCAGTGAAATACTGCCTCTGAACCTGGAGATTCTGTATCATCATCATAAACATCATCATCATGAATAGCTTCCTAATAGCATAACTAATAGCTGTGGATAGGCCTGTTCTTGATGAATTTGTCTAACCTCTTTTTTACAGCCATCTATTCTAAGCTAATAATCATTGCTGCACTTTGCTGTAGTGAGGTCCATATGTCAATAATGCATTGTGTGAAGAAACACTTCCTTTTGAATCTCTTGAATCCTTTGTCCATCAGATTTATTTATTTATTTATTTATTTATTTAGAAAATTTCTATGCCGCCCCATTCACCGAAGCCTCGGGGCAGCTCACAAAGATATCAATTAAAATATAATACAATAAAAATATAAAACAAGTTAACAATATAAAATAAAATAAGTCGCCCTGGCCGAAGAATAAAATAAATAAATAGTATTAACAGTTAAAATGATGTTTGAATAAAAAGGTCTTCGCCTGGCGCCGAAAAACAAATAACGACGGCGCCAGGTGGACCTCTCTGGGGAGCGCATTCCATAGATTGGGCTCCACCGCAGAGAAAGCCCTCCTCTGAGTACCTATCCTCCTAATTTCCTTCACGGAGGGTTCCCGGAGAAGGGCCTCTCCTGCAGATCTCAGGGGGCGGGCAGGTGGGCGTATATGGACGTAAGCGCTCATTCAGGTAGCCAGGACCCAAGCCGTTTAGGGCCTTATAGGTCATCACCAACACCTTAAATTGGGCCCGGACTTCAATGGGAAGCCAGTGAAGCTGACGGAGGACTGGAGTCATGTGAACATAATGCCCAGTCCCCGTCAGCAGCCTGGCAGCTCTATTTTGAACCAATTGAAGTATCCGGACCATCTTCAAGGGTGGCCCCACGTGGACCGCGTTACAGAAGTCAAGGCGGGAAGTCACCAACACGTGCGTCACTGTCGCCAGGCAGTCGTACTCCAGGTAGGGGCGCAGCTGATGGATCAGCTGAAGCTGAAAGAAAGCGCTCCTCGCCACTGCTGTCACCTGAGCTTCCAATGAAAGCTCTGGGTCGAGGAGCATTCCCAAGCTGCAGACCTTGTCCCTAAGAGGGAGTGCAACCCCATTCAGGACTAGGTTCAATTCACCCTTTCTGAAGCCCGATCTGCCAACCAACAGGACCTCCGTCTTGTCTGGATTGAGCTTCAGTTTATTGGCCCTCATTCAGCCCATTACCTCGGCCAGGCACCGGTTCAGTACAGTCACAGCCTCACCTGGATTGGTGGAAAATGAGAGGTAGAGCTGGGTATCATCAGCATACTGATGATTCCACTGCCCACACCTCCTGATGACCTCTCCCAGCGGTTTCATGTAGATGCTAAACAGCAAAGGGGACAAAATGGACCCCTGTGGTACTCCATGGCATAGCTGCCATGGCGCAGAGCCATAGTCCCCCAGCACCACCTTCTGGAATCGGTCATTGAGATAGGAACAGAAGCACTGCAAAGCAGTGCCTCCGACCCCCAATCCTGCTAGCCTATCCAGAAGGATACCATGGTTGATGGTATCGAAAGCCGCTGAGAGGTCCAGAAGAACCAACAGGGATGCACTCCCCCTGTCCTCCTCCCTGCACAGGTCATCGTACAGGGCGACCAAGGCAGATTCAGTACCGTACCCGGGTCTGAAGCTGGACTGAAATGGGTCCAGATAATCAGTTTCATCCAAGAGAGCTTGGAGTTGTCCTGCCACCACCCGCTCCAACACCTTGCCCAGAAACGGGATGTTGGCCACTGGTCTATAATTAGTGGCCATCTCTGGATCCAGTGACGCTTTCTTCAGGACCGGTCAGACTACCGCCTCCTTTAAAGGGGCAGGTACCCGACTCTCCCTCAGAGAAGCATTAACCACTTCCAAGATCCAGATCCCAATCCTGTGCTTGGAGTTATTTATTAACCAAGACGGGCTAGGGTCCAATAGGCAAGTGGTGGGATGTACTCGTCCAAGCACCTTGTCCACATCATCAGGCCGCAATAACTGAAATTCATCCATTAATTTTGGACCAGACGGCAGCATTGGTGTCTCCCCAGAAACCTCTGGGTCACTAGTAGAGTCTAGCTCGTGACGAATCTGAGCGATTTTCTCCCTGAAATGCTTGGCAAAGTCATCACAGCGGGCCTTTGAGGGTGGAACCAGATCTTTCTTAGGACCTGGACAAACCAGCCCTTGAACCACTCGAAAAAGCTCCGCCGGACAGCATTGTGAGGAGGCAATGGAAACGGAAAAGAATTTCTTTTTCGCCTCCCTCACCGCCATAGCATAGGCCCGATAATGGGCTCTCAAGTGTGTTTGGTCAGATTCATCCCGTGATCTCCTCCACCTATGCTCTAGCCGTCTCCCAGCCTGCTTCATCACCCGCAGTTCAGGTGTATACCAAGGGGAAGTGTGGGCTCTGCCTGGCGGGAGAGGACGCTTAGGAGCGATTGTGTCAACAGCCCTGGTCATCTCCCCGTTCCACAGGAGCACCAGTCTTTTCAGCCAGAAACTCCCCCAGGGCCTTCAGGAATCCATCCAGATCCATCCAGCTCCGGGGGCGGACCCACACAATCAGGTCCACACCCTTACAGAGGGAGAGGTCGCTCTCAAGCACAAACCTTACCAGGAAGTGATCTGACCATGACAGGGGTGTCAGACATAAATTCCTCACCCTTAGACCACCCTCTTCCTGCCCCGTTGAGAAAACCAGGTCCAGAGTGTGTCCATGTTCATGGGTCGGGCCGGAGACATGTTGAGACAGCCCCATGGCCGTCATGGAGGCCGTGAAGTCCTGAGCCGCCCCAGTCAGACCAGTCTCGGCATGGAGATTGAAGTCCCCCGGGACCAACATCCTGGGGGTCCTCAACACCAGGTCCGAGACGATCTCCGTCAGCTCAGGCAGGGAGACTGTTGGGCAGAAGGGTGCACAGTACACCAACAGAATCCCCAATCTGTCTCGGTCGCCCAACACCAAGTAGAGGCACTCCAGCCCTGGCCTCGAAGGGACCGGAAGTCCC